GCTCATGAGGAAGGGGGGAGCGGGGAGGGGAAAAATGAGGACCTAATGCTGGGGGCTTAAGTGGAGAGGAAATGTTTTGAGAATGATGAGGGCAATGAATATACAAATGCGCTTTACACAATTGATGTGTGTATGGATTGTGATAAAAGTTGTATGAGCCTCCAAATAAAATGATTTTTTAAAAAGTATTATTTTGTTTCATCTTGCCCTGTCCGACGTCTCCCTTCACCCACTTTTCTGTTGTCCGTCCCCCAGGGGAAATGAATGATTTCATATGTACTTCTGGTTGTAGCATTTCAAAGCCCAAAGCTTTCTACACTGAAGACTTGTTGATATATTTGAGAACTGTGCTACCTTTTTTTTTTTTTTTTTGAGAACTGTGCTACCTTTAAGGAACCTTACAGCAGTGAAAGTTTGTAAGGTTTCAGTACTGGATTCAACAGACTGAGTAGCTCAGTTTATTTCTGAGTTCCATAGAGCGCCCCTCATCCCCACCCCCACAGCCTTAGGCCTGGGCGCCTGGTAAAGCCAGCAGCCTCATTAAGGCAACGTGGCATCAGTCCTGACTCTGCCACAACAGTGATGACAGTTTGCACAGGACGACTCAGGACGATGACGACAGTGTGATGGGAGAAGAACCCCCTGTGGGGTGGGTAGGACATTAACTTAGATGAAAAGTAAAGCCACACCTTGGCTTTTGGTAAAACTGGCTGTGGGTTCAAAGGTGAGGGCTGGGCGTCTTCCAAGCGGGGACCTTTGGTGCCTGTGCTGCTGGTTGCTCTCCGTTTCTGGCACAGTGGCAGTTCTTGAAAAGAGCCCTAAAAAGGGACGAGGGAAGCTTGAGGGTCGAGCTTCCGTTAGGTAGTGGATTGATTCGAAAATATGGCTGAAGAGGCGAGGTTAGCTTTGGAGTTTTGAGGTTCTCTGGTTTGTGTGGTGAGCCCTGTTTGCAGGATTTCTGGATGTTGGCACCACTGCCACTGAGGGTGAATGAAGAATTGTTCTGAGTGACTGACTGTGTTCTAGGGGGTCTGGCACCACTTGTGGCTGTTACTTGCCTTGTCCTCCTCCCCCTAAGTGGTGGCAACCACAGTGTCCCCATGGGCCAAGCTGTAGCTGGAGTGCCACGGGCTCACTGCAGTTAGAAAGGGCCAGATTCAGGGGAGAAGGGTCACATAGGCTTGTACAACTTACTGTCTAGTGCTTTAAGATTTGAAGACTGAAAAAAAAAAAAAAAAAGATTTGAAGACTGTACAAGTAAAGATGACTTTCATGTGACTTGAACTGAGTAATGTTCATTTCTGGGTGACAGTGATCTTAATATGAGCACATAAAGTCCACAACTGCGTTAATCTTGGAGCCGGTGGCCGGCCACATGAAACAGCTTGTCAGCTGCTGCGTAGCCACGTTGTCCCAAGGGTGCACCAACCCAGCCCCTCGCCAACCTCACGGAAGTGCTGCTGGGGAGTGCTGAGCCCTAGAGACCATCTGTCATTAGAGTGCCCAGTGCCCTCAGCCAGAGAGGCTGGCATTAACACCGAGCGTCTGTGTAGCTACACAGCAGACAAAAGGCCTTGCTGATTTTAGAATAGAACACGCTTCTAGAGATTGTCTGTTCTGTAAGTGATGGACGCTCCCTTATAACTGGGACATAGCCCTTCACACTTGTTTCTTGGGCCTCTGGAGTAGGAAATAATCATTTTTATCACCCCCCAGGGTGGGCTAGCTAATCTGTTCTGGTATTAGTAGTATGGGAAACCAGTCTGGGTGGGGGGGGGGCAGGGAAACTACCAAACTCGAACCCTAATTACAGTGATGATTGTTGGACAGACGTCAGTCACCCTCCTTACCATCAGGGGTCCCGAGGACTGCCTGGGGGTCTTGTCCAGCAATGCCCTGGTCAGGAGATTGCTCCTCCTGGTGACAATCCTGAGGGAGGAGCCATTGTCACCCTGTTCTTTCAGAGGCCTCCCACTGAAAACCCGGACGACGGAACCACTGGTTGGCCAGGCTGGCTTTAATTCCCTATGCATGGAGTAGATGGTACTCTGGGTGCCACTCAGTGTCTGGGATGGGACTGTGTCCCTGCTGTATGTGCAGTGCCCAGTGGAGACACACTGCCTCCTCTGCCCCGGTCTTTCTAGTACTTCTCAGAAGTACAGCTTGGGTCTTACGAGAGAAGCTTGCATTCAAAGGGGTGCATTGCTTGGGTTTCAAACAAGATTAATGTACGAAGCTCAGCTGCTTGGTAGCACTGACTTTGAATCACTCCATGTGGGTGTGCACTGAGATGAGACTGGCTGGGTTTCGGGGCAGCACGGACAGCACCATCTGAAAGCGTTTCCCTCGTGGGTCACTAACAGCAGAGTAACCATTTCTTGTTTGTTTCAAATAGAACCTTCCACAGTCTGTCATTGAAAACGTTGGAGGCAAAATCTTCACATTTGGATCTTACCGATTAGGAGTACACACAAAAGGTAAATGCTGATTGAGTCTCCTTGAGAAGGGGTCTGGTACCTGTGCTGGGTGTACTGCTAAGGTTGGCATGGGGAGCACCTTTGCCGTCTGAGGCAAAGCTGTCTTAAAAAAAAAAAAAAAAAGCTTTGAGAACCTTCTTTAGCATTGCTATTTCTGGTGAAGAACGTTTGTATTGTGAGTTGGCACACAGTTTTACTTCATTCTTGTATGTGCTGCTCCAGCCCCTCCCTCGCAGAATCCCTGTCCTGGACCTTCACGCAGCCAGCTGCCTCCCTGCTTTGTCCTTGGAGAATGAGTGTCTTTCATCTCCAGTGGGGGCTCTTTCCTCTTTGGTTGGTGCAGTTAACACCTTGGGCTGCCTGGGAACTCCTCCTCCTCCTGGGGGAGGAGCTGAGCCCCAGTGTGTGTGCAGCTTGCTGGGTGCCCTCCCCCAAGACTAGGCACCTGCTCCAGGACAAGGAGGAGCTCTCAAGCCCTCCCTTCCTAACGTCATCATGGTGGGTTTTTTGGGTGGGGTGGGAGGCACTAGGGTGGGAGGCACTAGTGCATTTTTAGAGGCACACCACTATAGTGTTAACAAGGTCTCAACATAAGATACTGCCCACTGACTTTCTTACAATATTGATCCTTTTTAGGTGCTGATATTGATGCGTTGTGTGTTGCACCGAGACATGTTGATCGAAGTGACTTTTTCACCTCATTCTATGATAAATTGAAATTACAAGAAGAAGTGAAAGATTTAAGGGTGAGTAAACGTTTGGGTGAAGGGAGGGGACTGACAGGGAGGGAGCCCTTCAGCCCACTGGGTGTGCTGCGCTGAGCTGTCTTGGACAGCCATGGCTTGCTGAGCTCCTGCACCATGTTAGGCCCCCTTGGCACACCCAGTGTGCTGTGCACTTTAGCTTTCAGGACAAGTGGGCAAGCATATACATTCACACTCTGCTTTATAGATTCTGACTGGCGCTAACCAACAAAAAGTTACTGGCCACTGTGGCCACAATCGCACACCTGCTGGGGGAGACCAAGGGTTTGACTTAGGTTTGTCTGCCCCCAGCCCGACCCTGACACCTGTCGGGTTTCATTTTCTGTTCTGGGTGAACGCTTGCAACGGCCAGAGGCAGCCCCTCGTGGGAAAGCGTGCGTGCGCTCCTCAGTCTGGCCATCGAGCCAGAGCTGCTGACCTTGTTGGCTTCTCTTTCAGGCTGTGGAGGAGGCGTTTGTGCCCGTCATCAAGCTGTGTTTTGATGGGATAGAGGTGAGGCGTACTTCCCCTTGATGTTTCTTCGAATTGATGGATAGAGACTCAAATAAAGTAGAGGTTTATTTGAAAGCTTTTCACTTAGTGAGTTGATTGTGATAGTTCTATGAATTTAATTGAAGTGGTTCCTGATTGTGCAGAGGCTGCTAGCCTTGGTTGTCAGGTAGTGCCAGCCATGTCTAAATGAGCCTCAGGACATGGGGTGAATCCTTGGGACTTGTGTGCTGTGGGGGGAGCGGGGGTGGGGAGTTGTTTAGGTAGTCCCATAAGGAAGCTGCACTACTCTTATGGCTCTCACTTCCCGTACTGGGAAGGCCTGCTCTGAGGGAGTCTGGAAATGCTTCCTGACAGCGGACTTTGAGCAGGGGTCGCTTGGAGTTCAAATGACCAGTTTCTCCTTGCTGTTTCTAATGCGTGCGGTGGAAGTTATTGGAACAAAGCTGACAGAGAAGCGGCAGTAATTCATGTATTGTGTCACTTTCGCGGAGTCAGGTTGGCATGGTATTGGTAAGTCCCTGAGGAGATTAGTGAACATAGAAGAGCATAGTAGGAATTGGGAGAACAGAATTTCACTGTTTTGCAAAATAGGGGTTCTTACCATTGCCCAGTGTGCTCCGCCCTGCCTTGTATGACCTTACTAACTAGCCATAAATCAAGTTCATGTCAGTTCTGATATGTTGGCAGTTTTTACGGGAATCTGAAGGATCCATGCCTCCTCTTCCCCATGGGCCCCCGGGGACGACAGTGCAGCAGTGAAACTTCGAGTTTCTTTCGGTGTGAATGTCAGGTGACTGTCCACAGTACGCATTGAGTTCGTTGTAGATGAGCGGACTGCAGAGGAGGACTGCTTTTTCCCGTTTTCACATTTCATTTTAGCTCTGCTGTTTGCATGAATGCCAGCACCGACGAGCTGTTATTAGCTGTTTTGAGTGTAGGAGCTTTGCTTCTTTATAAAGTGGGAGATGCTGGACTTGGCAGTGTGGTTTGGTAATTCTGACCTATGCAGTAAGCACTCATTTATACCACAGACCCCTCCCCCCATTTGTCTCCTTAGGTGTACCGTTTAAATATTCTTCACCATGTGCTCGTAAAATACTTCTTTTTAAAAATGATCTGTAAAAGAAAAAAGCAAGCTTGTTTATAGCAACATGCACCTTCCTGAAACTAGGAAAGTATATTCCCAGGAGCAATGACTATATTGGCCCTGTGTTTCTTCCTCACCTTCCCACCCAAAGATGCCCATCTTTAAAAGTGGGGAGGTTTGAGCTAGTTGACCCAGTGTTGTTGTGAGGCACCGCCGAGCTTATTCCAATGCACAGTGATTCTTCCCAGCCCTGAGATCCCTGTCAGGATTCACCACAGTTCTATCCCTGCTTGTTTAAGGCTGTGATTCCTCCCGTGTCTCAAAATTTTCTCTTAGTTGTTACTAAGACAACTCTTAGAGGAATCACTAATATTGTGACTCTCGGTGCTTTGAAATACAAGGGGCTCTCTTTTCACTCGGGCCGTTTCAGGTCAGTGTAAGGGTGTTTGCCTTCTACTTGAGCGTAGTTCCTGCAGGGGGAGAGTTAGTCCGCTGGGTGCTTTCAGCACACTCAATTAATTAGACTTAACTAAGTACGATTAACGTGACACAATAGGTATTTCTGAGTTCTGTGTATTACCATGTTTCAGTGTACTACCTAATTAAAATACTGCAATACAAAATACGTGGCTTATAGCCTTGTAGTGGACATTGTTGTGTATGATTGATGAGAAGGGACGGCTTTATAGAAATGCCTTCAGGATAGCTTGACAGATGTGGATGTTAATTCTGTTTTTGTTTTAGATTGATATTTTGTTTGCACGATTGGCACTGCAGACTATTCCGGAGGACTTGGACTTACGAGATGACAGTCTGCTAAAAAACTTAGATATAAGATGCATAAGAAGTCTTAACGGTATGTCAAAACCTACTTCTGTTTGCATAGTAGCAGTTTTTGTCACACAAAACAGTGTCTTTAACTAGGGTTTTGTACTGATGAAGTTTTTTGTGCCAGATCGTTCATCCGCAGTGAGTCGAAGGACATACACTTGCTTCCGTAGCTAGAGTGTAAGGTGGAGTCCGGTAGTCTGTTCCTCACTAGCATCTCACAGTTACCTCTTGTCTGGCTGCCAGCGGCCCTCTGCAGAACAAGCTGAAACCCAAACCCGCTGCTGTGGCCTTGACGCCGACTCAGCGTCCCGGTAGTAGGATAGAGGCACACTGCCGCCAGGCTTCCAGGGCTGCACCTCTTCATGGAAGCACACGGTGCCAACTTAGAGTTACCAAAGAGCTTGAACTGCAGCCGGATGCTTTAACCACCGTGCCACCAGGGCTTCGTATAAATGGCACGTAGGGTACTGGCAAGGCATCTGGGAAGTGTGTTGTGTGTATCACCAGTGAGTCCACTGTGGTCCCGAGACCCTCTTCTAACTGAGGCTCCAGGGCTCCTCTTGACAAGCAGCTGGAGGAGCTGGGTGTGGGGCGTGAGTAGACTGGCAGCTCCATGCCTTTGGCTTCGTGCAGTGCTTGTGCGAGAAGAGAGAAAAGACTCGATTTTTATTTGATCCTTTTTGAATTTACTGTTACTGACTTCACCAGATTGTTCATATTTATTTGACATTAGTGTCAGAAAAGTTAAAGAAATATCATCATAAGCTTTTGACGACTTAATGTTCTGTTTTGTCCCCCTCCTCCCCTATCAATCAGGTTGCAGGGTAACCGATGAAATTTTACATCTAGTACCAAACATTGACAACTTCAGGTTAACTCTGAGAGCTATCAAACTGTGGGCCAAACGTGAGTGCAGAATTTGTTGGCTAGCTTATTAAAATGTTGGCGCTTTTGTTTATCACTGACTTATCTTTTTGCTTTTCCCTTATCAACAGGCCACAACATCTATTCCAATATATTAGGCTTCCTCGGTGGTGTCTCCTGGGCGATGCTAGTAGCAAGAACTTGCCAGCTTTATCCAAACGCAATAGCATCAACTCTTGTACATAAATTTTTCTTGGTATTTTCTAAATGGTATGTGTTTAGATTATATTAAAATAAAATTGATTGTAGACACTGAAGTTTAGTCTTATTTCTATGACATTTCTGCAGCTGCTTGTAGATCCCACTTTTATTTAGTTCATAGGTAGCCGCTGGGGTAGCTAGGGGGGGAGTCCAAGATAAGTTTTAACATGACAAAGCCAGCTCTAGCCGTTTTCCCAGAGAGCCAGAAAAGTGCTGGGCACTCCCTGTGTGAACCTGCCCTTCTGATACACTTAGAGCTTCAGCTGGGTGTTTGCTAAAATCCAGGGACTTAATAGAGTGGGACAACAGGAAATCTGTGTCTATACCACCTCTTTCACTTTGGAAATTTCAAATCTATTCGACCCTTTTTTTTGTGGTTGTTTTTGAGTTTCAAATTTTAGCTGCTTTTAGCTATTCAGTTGGTCTTTGATAAAATGTTAAAGATGTGTAGTTATATTAGAAGAAGAAACTACATTTTAAGTGCCGTGGAAAACAGACATCTCAGTCTCTTGGAGATTAGTCATTTAATCCTGGAGACAATTTTTTTTAAGTCTTCTCTCCAGGTGTATGGGCTTGTACAGCTATCATTTGTTTTTTAAAAAAATAGATAACATTATCATCATTTCATATTCGTTGCTTTGGCCTAAAAGAGCTCGTTGCTTTTCAACCCAGTGTATCTTAGAGATTTAAAGTCCTCCTTCCCGACACTTGCCAACTACCACCCCTCCCTTCTTTTTCAAGTTGTACAAAAATTAGCATTATCAGAGATGCTTGACAATCCAGAACTGCGCATGCTCTTTAGGACACATTCTGCTGTGGTCCGTAGTCGGTGTGACCAGGTGTGACGAGAGCAACGAAAGTGTCAGAATCCATCTCAGTGACACGCACACAAAAGCTAATGTTCTTTTTAAAAAGCTTAGTGTTTTTACCCTTTTCCCTTTATAGAGCTGTCTTGAAAATGGTTCACAACTCAAACTTTTACTTCACTATTTCATGACAAGAGGGTAGAGAAAAGAGTTCCTCATTGTTTTTATAAATATTGGTATTCCTTTGGTTTTAATTAAAAGTAACTTTAAAAAAAATTGTCACATCTGCGCATGGAAGTAGTGTGAAGACAGATTTTTTGGGGGCCTGGTGGTGGAGGTGGAGAAGTTGTCCTTTTCAGGGTTGAGTTGGGCATCCCAGGGTTGTAGAATAGAATTGCTTTAGCTGAAGAGACGTTTGTGTGGTTTTAATAGAGCCTGAGATACCTGAGTTTAACCTGGGAAAACTATCCAATCCTTTGTTAATTTCATAGTTTCGGAAAAAGTGTTTTCAGTAGTCTGATGTCAGCAGGAAGGAATACGGGGTGTTTGAGCTGGAAGTGCAAAGAATACCGAAGGCTCACAGTCAACAAATTGCTGTATGTTTTACAAGATACGTGTAGATGGTAACCTCCAACAGTCTTATCAAGTGCTACGATCTTTTTAAACAGGGAATGGCCAAATCCTGTGCTATTGAAACAGCCTGAAGAATGCAATCTTAATTTGCCTGTTTGGGACCCAAGGGTTAGTGTATTATTTTTTCCCCTACAAATTCACACTTCGCGATAGCAAGTAAAGGTCATCTGCAATAGATGGTGCCGGGACACTTTCTTCTCTTCCCTATGAGTGGACCCGCCCCTGGTACACTGTGCTCTCTAGATAAGCTCAGCTGGAGTGGCCCTCTGCTGTGTGGAGCAGCACGATGGATGTACCCGGCACACCATCTCACTAACACGTTAAGACTATCTAGAACTGCCTTGTAAGTCGAAGCTGTGTGGGCATTTGTGCTTTAAAAGAAAATAAAAGGATAACTAAAAGTTCCTGTATTTTTTATTTGATGTAAATATTTTGCTGCAGTTGGGTCATTATGGAAAGGCTGCCACTTAAGGCTGATAGCATTTCTGTGATAGCATTGTGAGAACGGGTCTGGGTGTTTCAGAGATGATTAAAAGGGTTGGGCCCAAAAGGAGAGCTTCTGTTTTGCTGCTTGGCAAGTTATGTTCTATTCTGTTTTCTCATTTAGAAATGTTAACAACATGTGTTTTATTAATTGCCAAGTGAAATTTAAGTTTGAATGAGACATGGTAGTGTATAGGTACTCTTAACTGTAAAAAGTGATTGGGTACTTTCTTGCAAAAAAGACACACTTTGTCAGCTTTAGGCCTGTCTGTTACACCCAGTAGTGCATTTTCAAGGTTAAAAATTTTTGTCACTGACGTCATTGATAAGGATTAGGACAAGCAGTTTATTGAACCATCTCAGCTTATCAGAATGATGTCAGTGTGACTAATACAGTCTCCTCTTGGGCCTGAAGTTTCTAAGTCAGAGTCTATTAGATACTTGCTTCCACCTTCTTGAAAATTAGCTTTACACAGAAGTGTGACTTTTCTCAGAATGTATCTTGGTACGCATCCCAGCTCTGTGGTTGTACAAAGAAAAACTAAACGGTCACCAGGTGCACAGGGCCTGTCCTGTTCTCAGGCCTGCTGTTTCTGTCAGGTGGTCGGACTAGGCTTGCCCCAAGATGGGAACAGATATTTAGTGTAGAACAAGTCTCTGATTCTGTAACGAATTCCTCTAAAACAATGTCGTCTTACATGGTTTTTCTTTCTCAACTCCAGCTGTGAGTGAAATTGAGGAAAATGTAATCATTGATTCAGTTTAACAAGGAGTAACAAGTCCAGGTGTCTGTTGCATATGTACTTGAAGAAACTGATTGGCTGTTGTTGTATGTAGGTAAACCCCAGTGATAGGTACCATCTTATGCCTATAATTACACCAGCATACCCACAGCAGAACTCCACCTACAATGTGTCCGTGTCAACACGGGTGGTCATGGTTGAGGAGTTCAAGCAAGGTAAGTGGCTCTCCTTACATTCTCCTTTCTACACCATGGACTTAACTCCCACCCAGGCCCAGTGCACGGTGCCACTTAATGGAGGGACCTCCCGGTGTGGCTTTGCCACCCGAAATGGTTGCAGCATGTGTTTGGGAGTGGACCTCCTGTAGGAGGCCGCCTGTCTCTGAAAACTGGAGAGATCGCCCACATGGAGAGAGAGACTGCCTTAGTGCTTTAGCTGCCCCTTTACAGGCTGGCCCAGAGCCACGCGGTGCCATGTAGGGCCACCAGGGTGTCACATGCTCTCTTAGGGGAGGCGTGGCAGAAGTAGGCACTAGACATTGGGGCCAGATTGCTCATTATTTTTTTTGAAGAACCTCTTATATTTTGAGCACCGGTTGTACTGTTAATTTGAGGATATAACCACTACCAGTCATGGACACACCAAGCTGGGACACTGTGACTTGATTTGACTGACATCACTCAAGGTGGTAGTAACTCATTGTACATATAGTAGCCCCAAAGGCTCAAAGTGCCCCTAAAACCCTTGTCTTAAGAGGTTCTTCCCTGGAAGGCACCTTGACCTTCCAGAAACAGCAGGTTGTTTTTTAGAAAGGCAAGAAACCAGATGTATGGGGAGCTTGTCTTTCTCAGGTAATTAGCACTGCTTCCGGTTCCAGAAAGCTGTTTTCTGAGCATGGCGTTTTATTTAGCAAAATGGCGCTTGACCAGAAACCTGGCTCTTGAAAAACCCTTTATCTGCTGTGAAAGAGAGAGAGTGAGCGAGCGAGTGTGTGTGTGTGTGTGTGTGTGTGTATGCGATGCTAAAGTTGGCTTAGGGTTATTTTGAAGGCATGTGATATGTTTCAGATTCTTTAAACTCCACATTGTTAGATTGAAGAATATAAACATTTTTACTATGTTTTAATCTAGGTCTTGCTATCACCGATGAAATTTTGCTGAGTAAGGCCGACTGGTCCAAACTTTTTGAAGCTCCAAACTTCTTTCAAAAGTACAAGTATGTATTTTAAGGCATGTCGCGCACACTCTTGTGATGATAGTGCTTTAGTGAGCACGTAGGACGGCATCTCTTCTTGCCAGACTAACGTCGTTTCTGGTTTTCCTTCCAAGGAGTGACTGCAGTGTCCTTTCCTTTCCCAGGAGGCGGGCTCCATGGAGAGCACCGCCTCCTGTCTCTGTCAAGGTGACGCACAGCCTGATACGTAGCTAGTTTTGATGCTTGACCTGGCCCACTTCCTCACACTCTAAAACTGCATTCCCAGCGACCAAAGCTCCTATAGGCTGCTCTCTCTACCTTGGCAAAGAGGTAAATCTGAAAGTCCAGGACCCGTAAGAACAGGAGCATTGTTGACCAGCCTGGGGGAGGTGCCTCTCCGTAGGTGTCTGGGCCACAGAGTGAGAGAGACAGCACTGCATGTGCACTGTAGTTCCAGCACATGATTGGCCATCTCCCCAGCGTTAATTAAACCCTTCAAATGCCTCCACACAGTTTTCTTGGGATCTGATTGCTGTAATATTTTTGAGCAAGTTTTAATACCTTGGTATAGGTTAAGAGCCCGACTAATTATTGTATTGGTTTTGAAGATAATTGTAAGTTATAATAAATCTTACTTTAACAAAGAAAACACCCACCGACTGGCACTTTTATTTGCCCTGAAGTGAACATTGCTAGAGTCCCGCTCACCGATCCTTCACTCCCGATGCTGTCACTGGCCTGTGTTCTCCTATTGGTTCTCACTGCATTCTGTAATACCTTGAGGACTGGGCTCGTGCTATTTCCTCAATTAAAAGCAAGATGGTGACCAACCCGATGTCTCTGTGTCTTGTTGTTCCTGGTGCATGAGCAGGCAGGAGCCAGAGTAGGGCTGGCTGGATGGTCATGCCCTCGGAACTCTTTGTCAGCGAGAAGGGTGTCTGTCCCCAGATTGTCCTGTTCCACTTGGTCGAGAAGTTACCGTGTGCTTGAGGGCATTTCCCTTGAACATTTGAACTAGCAGCCATCATCTTTTCTGCTCTCCCGCACTGATCGTTTGTAAGCTCAAACATAATTAGTAGACAGTCGCTTGTAAGGGGAGGAATGAAGCTGTAAGCACGCATTCTAAGAAAAGAAAACATCAGTCTTTGCTCAGTAGTACTGAAAACGTTTCTGCTGGGCTGGCTGAGGGATGGGTTTTTAAATTTTTTAATTAAAAACATGATTTAAACTCTTGCTTAATTGTGAGCACATTCCATAGGTTTAGATGATCTTTTAGAGGCTGAGTGTATTAGATACTAGGAAATACATATGAAAGAAATTCTCTCAGGAAGGTGAGAGAACTGAGATGCGGAGGTGGCCGCCGTGGGCTGATGAGCCACAGCTGAGTGAGTCTGCAGTCCTGGTCTCTGTCACCCACGTCCCAGCCCCGCTTTAAGGGACAGTGATGACTGGTGTCAAGCTTTTGGAAGTTTTCAGAGTTTGGAATTAAAAAAAACAGACTGGTATGAAATGCCCCAAAGGAGCTGTGCAGGCAAACTGAAATCACCTGTGTTCTCTTGAGGTAAGGTCTGCTTGGAAGAGTGTTCAGGAAAGGCTGAATACTTGGTGGTGGTGTGTGCCCTCGGGCGACTCTCACCATGATAAAGGTACTTCCTGGGCTTTCACCTTTACGGAGCAGAACCCCCACCCTCACCCCCAATCTTTCAGAGGGGCTCCAACCCTGACCTTTCAGTGGTAGCCAAACGCTCCACCTCTGCGCTGCCAGGAACCCCATTGATTCTGCACCAGGACTAAGTTGTGCAGTTACCTGTATTCTTAGGAGGGAGGGGTCCTTGAGGGAAATCTCTTCATCTTGCAAGCAGACAAGTTATGTAGAAAAGGAGAAACCAACTCGGACGGCAACGCAGGTGCCTCTGTTAGGATTTTATGTCCTTCCTAGAAAGTAGTCTTCATGTTTCTCATTTGAGTTGCTCAGTGTTGTAGTGTCTAGTAATCGTCATCAAAGTGGAAATTGTGCATTTCAGCTATTTATTTCACTAGGAGTTGAGGAAGAAATGGCGTTAGGGAAAAACTCAGGTATTTTCTTTTTTCCCCCTCATTGGTCCGGCCAGAGTATGTGTGTAAGTGGCCCTGGACCTGTTAGGTTGTTTGTGTTCAGGGGAACTACTGGCATTGGGTCAGTCGGGCACCTGCCAAAGAGAACCTGAGTTCTCTGGGCAGGAGGCCCAGTGGCGGCTTGCTGGGTGAGAAACCGAGAAGGCTGGTCACAGGACCTTTGGCAATACTTTTAATCGAGGTGTGGTTAGGCCCTGTGGGCCTGTGCCTTTGGGGATGGGCTGCTGGCAACTCCAGTGGTCTTTGATTTGGGAGAAAACACCGTGGCTGCCAAGGACGAGGCGACAAGTGTCATTTTCAACATGACTGGCCACAGTGCTCACAGTGCCTGCTTGCTTCCGGGTGGGGGTGGGGATGTTGGGTGAGCCTTGGCTCTTTATTCATAATTCATGTTAGGAGGGGCACCTCAGTCCCTTGTAGGGGTGCAGTTGGGGCTCAGTTTCTGGTGTGCACTGAGTGGACTGTTAGTGGAGAGGCTCTTCTACCTGCTTTTGGCCTCTTGTGATGGATCTTTCAGATTTGATGGCCTAGCCGTGGTTCCAACCTCAGCAAATGTGGGGGTGTTGAGAAGAATGAGATTGGTGTGTGTTCCTTGCCCTGCTCTCTTGGGTAGCCTTGTCGGTGTTGGGTTTGTAACTCAGTCCCGAATGGCTAGTAGTGTTTGATGAGTCTGTACACATGTGTTGTCTCTCTCTCAGTGTGTGCTCTGGGTTGGCTGCGTACAGCACTGCCGCCTGCAATTGGAGGCGCTGTGCCAGGCATTGTGGGTGCAGCATAGTCGGTGGATGCTGGCCCAGGGTCTGAGCAGGGAACAGTCTTAGCTGCCCAAGGCCAACAACATTCCACCCAAGTGCACAGTGCGTTCTGCCTCTGTAAAGGGAGAGTGTTGTGCATCAGCTAAGCTTTTGTCAGGCACTGGCTCTTAAGGTTGTATTTGGTGGTGGGGCAGAGGAGGAGATATGGAACTGGATGGCCTCTGCCCCATGGGCAGGTGGTTTCAGACACTTAGTGTTTGTGGGGCCTGCCGGCATTTGTTAGACGTTTTGTCAGAGGGCGCTTTCTCCACCCCCCTTTGGATTTACAACTGTTGCTTTTGTTTATTTCACTCGCTCAGGGCCCTGGCCCTGCTGTGGCGCCTCAGGGCTGGTTCCCACGGGCCAGGGTTTCTTGCACAGAGAAAGCATGGTGTTGGAGGCCAGTGGTGGGGTGGCAGTTGGGAGGTGGCTTGCTTGCTGTGTGTGCCTGCCCTAGATGCAGAGCCGATTATGGGACAGGCCAGAGTCACCTTGGCTGCCTTTCTTCTGAGATCTGACTGGTTTGAACTCCACACTTCTTTTACTGCTGTCAGGAAAACCGAGTCTCACAGTACACTTGCTGTCTGGGGAGCCCGAGCCTTGGGCTGGAGTGGCAAGGATCGGCTGTCACAGCGTGGGAGTGTGGCAGTGCGTGCCCACAGGCCCTTTGGAGTAGTGTGGCCAGCGAGAGTGAAGCTCATGGAGCTCTGCCACAGGAGGTCGGACCTGTGCTGCGGTCAGGAATCACTTATAAGACCTGATTTGCAGCAAGCGTCATCAATGTCTCAGACTGAGAGTTGACAATGCTGTGTGATAGAGACACTCTTTTAGGCCAGTCTCTGAGATTGAATGTCGGAGGGCGTGTTGAAGCCGAGTCTGGTGAGATGTGGGACCCCAGCTCGAAAAGAGGGCCTGGGGAGCTGACTGGCCGCAGGCGTGGGCCCTTGTCTTCAACCAGTGCCAGCTGCGCAAATGGGCTTTTTAGCAAAGGCTGAGTGCTAACGCTTGGCCAAGGCCTTTCTGCCCTGCAGACTGGCCCTGACTAACGTTTAGTGTGGAGAGCGAGACCCTTGTCCTCTCATGTTGGTGCTATCTGGCGCTTTGTCAGAAAAATAATAGCAGTCAGCTTCAGGACCCAGTGTAGTTCTGCCACCTTCTCATCCACATTAAAAAGCCAGATAGACTTGATGTGGCCCACGGGGGTGGGGTAGGGCTTGGGTCCATGTTTGGTGGCCGTAGTTTTGTGGTCCAAACAGTTCTGGTTTAATGTTTTAGATTTCAGGGGGCAGCTCCCTGCTCCTACCCTTTGCACTTCAGCAGGATCCTGGGGCAAAGCCATCGAGCTTGTGATGACTCAGCAGTTGTGAATTCAGATGCTTTCTCTCTCTCTTTTAAAAGCAGGTTTATTAGGATGTCATCCACATGTTATACAAGTCAGTCATCAAGAAGAGTGGTACAATTATCGCCACAACCAATTCTAGAGCATTTTCTTTTTCCTTGTACTCACTGTTATTTGTGTAATTGTTTTTTCCTAGCGTGACAAAAATACAGTCAACATTCTCCAGTTCCACAACTTACACACGTGTAATTCAGCACCAGGGATTGTGCTCTTCATGTTGTACGTCTGTTACTGATTCCCTTTTTCCAAATTATCCCACGGCCCTTAACATGAGCTCAGTGCCCCGAAACAACACGGTTAGTTACTCTTGGTTGTTTGGTTTCCTCACAATCAGCGATAGTGCGCCCTCCCTACATTCACGTGCTTTTTCTTGGATTTGTTCACAAAATGACTCTCGCCCAGAAGAGCCAGACCTGCCAGTAGTTTGATATTTGTGGAATTTAGCTTTTAAGAGTTTGTGTTCGTATTGAGATTCCAACCCCTCTGCTAACTTCATGTTGGTCCGTAAGTGAAGGGAGCTTAGTACATTGTGGTATTAACATCCAGAACAGAGCAGGTGAATGAAATCAATAGCATGTTGTCTTTGTCTTCAAAGGCATTATATTGTCCTCCTAGCAAGCGCACCGACGGAAAAGCAGCGCCTGGAGTGGTGAGTATAGGGTGGATCGCACGGAAAAATAGTTGTCAGCATGACTCCTCTGCCCACAGACCACAGTATGGGAGACGGGAGGAGGAACCCGGGAAGGGAGGTTCAGTTAGGGCTGATTTGTTAAAAAACGGAGATTCCCCACCAGTTGTAGTGGAAGTATAGGCAGGAGAGGGTCCCAGTGCAGCTGAGTATTGGGGACTTTACGCTTGACAAAGATCCATGTGTCCATTGTGAACTTCAGGCCTGGTCTGTCGGGTTTCCCTTTTTCAAGTAGCAGTGATGTTTGTTTTCACCCCGGCCTCTGAGGGAGGGTCCGGTGTGGGCGGGCGTTCTCGGTGGTACTCATGATGCATGTGTGGGGCTGCATGTTAACTTGCCTTACACGACGCACTTGATTGGATAGGATTTTTAAAGGCGACCCTAACTTGGCATCTCGTTTGTTCAGGGTGGGCTTGGTGGAGTCAAAGATCCGGATCCTGGTGGGAAGCCTGGAGAAGAATGAATTCATCACACTGGCCCATGTGAACCCCCAGTCCTTCCCAGCACCCAGGGAGAATCCTGACAAGTAAGGATGCGTTTCCCTCACCGCTGTCAGTCTCTAGAAGTCATGGTTCAGAGCTGGGACCACTTTTCTGTGGATGACTTGGAGCCCCACATCAATTAGGAGCTTATGACCTACACTCTCTGAATCGGAAGCATTGGTGAGACAGATGGATTTCCTATGGAAATTGGGCCCTGAGCTTGTTCTCGGGCATCTGCCTCCTGCCCCTCTCCCTGGCCCCGCTGCTTATAGCAGGCCCTGCTCTGGGGAACTGCCATACCGACCACCGGTCTTTGTTTTTATCTACTCCCCCCCCCAAAAGAACATACTTTGATTTTGACATCGTAAGAATCCGTGTGTGATGGACTCTATAGGTTGACACAGGTAGCACGCTCTGTTCTTATCTAGGGTCTTTGCTTGGCCACGGGCTGCTTAGTTAGTGAGGCCCTCCGAGGTCTAGGCCCAGCTACAGTTGAGGATCAGGGTATTGTTTGGAACGAGTGTTTGCAGTTGTAATGACGGTCAAACTGCCATGTGCAGGACACAGGGCTGCTCCCCAGGGTCCCATCTTTGCCACCTGGTGGGAGAGTTTTTGTTGTCGTTTTCAGTTCAGTTTAATTCCGTGAGTGTTACTGCCATCCTAATTGCTAAGAGGCTGACTCAGATGCACCCTCGAATGAGCTGAAGCAGCTGAGCACCCCCAGTTGTTGCCCTGCTTATATGCTAAGGAGAGTGGAGAAGGATGGGTGTCTGGGGAGACTGGTAGGTACTTTTTTGATGGAGTTTGGGGGTTAGCATATTTTGTTGATTGCAGCTTGTACTTCACATTTCACATTTACCCCAAGTTGTCAGCATTGCCAGCCACACCTACAACCATCTCTCTGACATCCTAATCCACCCGGTAACAGTCTTCTTCCTTTGCAGGGAAGAGTTTCGCACCATGTGGGTGATCGGGTTAGTGTTTAAGAAAACCGAGAACTCAGAAAACCTCAGTGTTGATCTGACCTATGATATTCAGTCCTTCACAGACACAGGTATGTCTCCACCTGGGGCCACATGCGCATGCCAAGTTGGGTGCAGTAGAGCCTGGAAGTACTTTTAGGTGACTTAGTGGTTTCTGGACTGCATCCAGCTCATGTGAGGGATGTCCAGGATAGAAATGGCGCTCTACATGTGATTGGCTCACACCTTTGAGATTAGAAACGGTCTGGATCTATGTGTGCAGAGCCTCTTTTGGGCTACCTCACTAATCTTGACCCTTACGAGCAGATGAGGAGAAACTTGAGGTGACTTGTAGGATCTGTTCTACACTCCGACTCACCTGGACATTAAAATGCCAGTTCCTCCCCGGGCTAGTCGGGGGCCTGACCCGAGGTGAAAGGGAACACATTCTAACTGCCGACCCACGGGTGGAGGTCCTGGATGAGCGCCCGGTCAATGTGGTTTTCCTGTGGTGTTTCTAGGAGCTGGCCAGTGTGCGGGGGCGAAGCTCACTACAACACCCTCCACCCCGAGGGAAGACTGCATCTTCCTAACAACAAACTCTCCTCACTCCCAGAAGAATTTCTTCTCCCCTTTCCCCAGGAAAGACTGCATCTTCAGATTTTCTTCTCTTCCAAACATTTTTCTTCGCTCTCCCCCACCTCCCCCACTTTAATAAGTGGCGTTTTCCAAATGATCAGGAGAAACAGTTTTCCACATTCAGGTTTAACATGAAACATTGCCTATTACCAGCCTATTGGGACTGTTTGTCTCTTTCTGACCTTTGAAGGACGGAGTGACATCAGGGAGGCGCCTGAGCTATGCTCTGTTTGTAGTATAAGCGTGTTCACATTCTTAAAGTAAATTTAGATTAAAATTCATATGCTCAGTAGTATGCTGTAATGGTGGGAGCCTGGTGGCGTGTTGGTTACGTGTTGGGCTGCTGTTCGAAAAATCAGCAGTTCAAAACTACTAGCTCCCTGGGGGAAGGACAGAGCTTTCCACTATTTATACTGTAAACAGAGTCTTGGAAACCCACAGGGCCACTTCTACCATGCCCTGCAGGGTCACTAACAGTAGACATTGGCTCGATGGCAGTGAGGAGGTTGTGATGAAATTTGCAGATGGTGAAAAGGGGTTATATCTAAGAATTAAAATGGAGCAGCTCTCCTGTACCAACAAGTGGGATGAGAAAGGGGGAAGCAAACAGGGAAGCACACGCTGCAGTGCTCAGGCACAGGACTGAGGGGGCGTCGCTTGCCTCAGTGCCTGCCCTGTGGAGAATCCCTGGCAGTGTGGCGTTTGTGACACTGTCGGCTGTCCTGCCTTGGTGACAAGTGAGCACCCCCGAAACACCATTGTGCACACCTCCTCCAGCTGAGTTGCCCCTGCCAAGGTGGTCCTAGGGAGCTGTAAAGGTTTTCAGGGGGCTCTTGGCCCTCTGGGGAGAGAAACATTGAGTGCCCTGTCTTGGGACACTTGCATGGAATACCTTCAAGAATTTGAGTAAAACCAACTTAAAACCAGCCCCCCGCCCACACACAGCCCACACCCAGTGTGTTTCATCTCGGTGGCGGCCTTTGATGTCTTCTGTGCGTTCCGGTCACTGGGTCCTTACCAAACCCTTTGGCTTCTGCTTTCAGAGTGTGTGGTGGTCCTGGCCCTTGTCACCCTCATCCCAGTGGTCATGTTCTGTCCACTGCCTTAGGCTCCCTGTTGTAGCCTGGCCACCCGCCAGCCATGTCTGAGCCACTTCCACAGTGACCAGTCACTGTGGTGGCCAGGCCGTAGTTGCCTGGTGGCTCCTCCCATCCTTGAACAAAAGCCAGGACATGGCTGGGCTGTGCAGGCCGCTCCCCAGTTCACCTCCTGTCCCACGTATCTTGGGGGTAGGAAGGTAGTGTAGTTCATAAACACTGTTGGGCCCGATAGCAGCCTTTGTGCTGGGTTTTTTTGAGAACCCCTACTGAGCAGCCCCACAGGGGTGGGGCTGGGCTCTCTTGTCATCTGTCGGACAGCAATGACGACAAAGGCAGGATGGTCGCGCCCTGGAGCTCAGGCTAGGGAGTCTGGAGTTTTGGTGGCATCCTTGGGGACAGCCTCTGTGTGCCAGGAACGGTGGGCTTTAGACTTGCATAGTGAGGACTGTTCGCTGGGTGTGCACTCTGCCTTGGCCAGACCTGTGTCTGCCCCCGTGAAAGAGTGGCCATGGTCATCTTCGTCCGTTGTCCTTCCTGCCTCGGCCTTCCGTTTGACCCTCTCCTCTTCCTCCTGACCCAGGCTCTCCTCAGAGTACTCGCAGCCCCTGACATGGGCTGGCCACCCCAGCCTCATTTCCTGGGCGCTGCACCCCATGTCTGGGATTCGGAGGGAGCAGACCCGTCAGGCCCATGTGCCAGACGCTGGCCAGGTTGGCTCTCGGTTCTCGGTGTCTAATGGAGCCGGATTATTTATTTGCAGCATTTCACTTGTGACCTCTCATTTATTTAGGCGTTTTTACTTTTGTTATCCTGCATTTACAGTTTATAAATACATAGATAAAGTGCAGCAAACAGCACACAAGGGTGTGGGCTTCAGCTAGTTGTATGTGCTCAGTGCGCCTTGTGCTGCTCAGGTGGGGGGCTGTGCTTTGCAGGCGGGCCATGGACATCAAGAAGGGCTTGGCACTAGAACCACTGCTCCTGGGTGTGGGGGATGCATGCCTTTGTGAGCAACGCCCCTGTCTGCTAACAACTTCCTACTTGTGCAGTTTATAGGCAAGCCATAAACAGCAAGATGTTCGAGGTGGACATGAAAATCGCCGCCATGCACGTGAAAAGAAAGCAGCTCCATCAACTACTGCCTAGTCACGTGCTTCAGAAAAAGAAAAAGGTAAATCTAGAAGGGACTTCTTGGAGCCATGTGGGCCAAATGCAAATGCAGCTAGTGCACCATCCTCGGTTACTAAGACGCCGTCCACGCGTGCTGGGAGTTTGTGACATGGTGCAGCCGCGGCAACAGGATGTGTGCTCTGGTGCCTAAGTCACTGGAGATGCTGCTGTCCTCCTTTTAGGTAGAATACGACCTCTAAAAGCTTTTTAAAATCCCACATTGATACCTCATTTCGTTCTTCCTTTTTGGATACCTCACTTCTTTTGGAAAAATGAAATTGGGTGAGATGAGGGGCTTCAGACAGTTTGTGGACAGATTTGCTGTCTGATTGTGTTTCCCACGGGCCTTTCTTTCACAGCCCCCTTGTGTGTGTCCGTGTAACTGACGTGGACATTTTCTTAGGAGAACGGCTTGTGGGGATGTTGGTAAAAGCCACCAGCTGCCCTCTGCTTAGCAGGTAGCAGTGCGTGAAACCCCGGTGCTCCTTGATCACTGCTTTTATAGGACCGAGGGTTTTGTCTACAGCTTAAGCCTAACAACCACATAGGCAGGACTGAAAGAGAAGTCTAGATGAGAGAGGAGCATCGGGCTGATGGTCGAGAGCACACAGGAAATAGCCACTCTGGGAGGAGCTGACTGTCGGATGAGTGAAATTACGGCAGGGCCCTCCTGGGCCAACACCTTGACGCTCAGGGAGGCTCGTGCCTTTGTCAGATCTTCACAATTAGTAAAGCACACCACCACCACCACCACCCCTCCTGTCGAGCCTCCTGAGCATGAGCGAGTCGGGCGTGCAGAGGGCTGAGACCAGGGCCTGGTACCTGGTACCCCTTCACTCTTAGTCCCATAACCCGGGGACTGGTGTGTGGTGTAAACAGAATTTAAAGTGGTTTCACTTAATTGAGACAGCATTTAATCTCTGTATGATAAGTCATCTTTCAGTCTCACCTTGTTTTTTTCTTTACAAGTGAAACCGGATGGTTTGTTGAGGGTCTGGAGAGTGGGGAAAGCCTCGTTCTTTTCCTCAGACAGTCTGTTTCCTGGCGTCAAGTCAGATAGGCGTCCACTTGTCTTCTGCTCGTTCCTTAGATATTCTGTGGATGGGCGTTAGCAGTTCCATGTACATATTTACTTATAAGCATTGGTTTTCAGACGTGAACGTGAATTATTCTTTTCATGTTTAGTCATTTATTTTATTGAAACAGCTGTTCACAACAGTGGCCGCCAGATGTCGCGGAACTTTTGATTCACATCACATTTCAAAGCTTGTAATGTCAGGTGCACGTGGTAGCAGCGGAATTTGCGGTGACCAGTGTGTGGTTTCAGACAATGTTGACTTAAGATGTTTTATTTTATTTCTGAGGTGGTCTGTGTAATTTCATTAGTGATTGGGAATCTGTGTAGTATTAAACACTACTTTCTCTGATCCAGCCCTTGTAATGCCGTCACTCTTCAGCACGTGAGTGACATTGACTGTTGAGGGCCCACAGACGCCCACAGAGGCCGTGGCTGTCTGAGGAGCGGACTGACTGCTTGGTGCCCCACCTCCTTTTGCGCACTTGCTGAAGCCCAGTGTCTGGGTGGTGCATGTAGCAACTGCTAGGCCTGGGATATGGCTGTCAGACTGCAGCTCTGCCTGCTGAGCCTGCCTGTCATCTAGAGTGCGTGGAGGGGCCTGCTGCCCTTTAGAACAGTAGTACTTTTTGGTGGTGTTGGTAACCAGTGTCTACAAGTCTAATAAGCACCGATGCTCAGCTTTCTTTGGTTAACTGCTTGCTCCCTGTTCTGAGCCGCTCTTTTCGATTTCATGTCAGGTTGCCTGTAGGTATTGTCTCCAAGAGAAGGACCTCGCTGAGGAGGGAGCGCCTCGGGCTGAGCAGGAGGACCTGCTGGGGAAGCTGCTGGCGAGCGGGGGGCCGTGCGCGCTGATGAGTGTTTTGATGGGGCCTTTAGGGTGGTTTGCCCATGGAGCCCCTCGCTGCTGAGCTTGGTATGGCCAAGGGCACAGCAGAGTGGCTCACAGCCTATCCCCACTGGTGGCCCACATCTTTGCAGACAACTGTGCCATGTGAGTGCACACACCTGCACTGTTAAAGGAACCAGTCCTGCTCCTGCCCAGTGCAGAGAGGGGCTCACTGACAACACCACCAAGCACCTTTCTTGACGGACCGGATGCAGACAGCATTACGACCTCCTGCTGTCCTTCTGCCCCTCTTTGATCAGAGTGAATCATTTGCTGTGCATACCCAGAGCTAGCCTGTCGTTGGGGGTACCGGGTAGCAGAAGCTGGGCTGGGGGTGGCAGTTGTGAGCGGCACCCACTCCTCACTTAGCAGCACTGCCATGTGCTAGAGAGTAGCTCTGTAGGGGACAGTGGCTGAGCGGCAGGGCGTGGGCCAACCCGTTACCAGGTAGACCTCACTGCTAGCTTCCATGGCACATTCCTGCCAACCCTTTGGGAGTCACGGCCGGCCAAGCTGACAGACCTGGACACATACCCACACCCACACCCAGACACCCCCCATGCCCCCTGGCAGCCTGTGATGCTCTTTCTGCCCGCCACTTGGCACTGCTGCATGGTTCATGGCTTATGCCCACACGAGTTGGTCAGGGGGCACGTGATTTTGCTGTGTGCAGCCCAAGAGAGCCAGTAGGTGAGAACGAGGTTTATTTCTGCCAACATGATTCTGTGATTCAGTGAACGTGACCACGGCAGTCTGTTGGGGAGGGAAACAGCGGAAGAAATGGGTGTGTGTGATGGGTAGAATAGCTTTGACGTGTTACCACCCAAGTCGTAGCCAGAGCACATAAACCTTGCTTTAGGGAGAGGTGCAGTGTGTTGGGAAATGGTAATAAGTGGTGACTATGTTGTACTTGCCAGGGAATTATTTTGAAATGTCATAGTTTTAGAATTCATAGTGGAATGATTAGAAATAACAGTATTTTACATCTTGTTATCCAGAACATTCATTTTGTTATTAGTGTTGTGTTTATATTGGAACCTTCCTCCATGTGTTTATGAACTGATTATGGTCCCCGATTGAAGACACCAGTGCTTTCTGACGTGCGCATGCCTCGCAGTCAGCCTGGGTGCCCAAGCAGCATGCCCACCCTCACGCTGCCCTGTAATCAGACTTAGAAGTCAGAGGGCACGATGGCCAGCACTGGGCCTTTCCAGTGTGAGAGCTGCTGGTGGTTTCCACATGCCCGTGCTACTGAGTGGGGATTTGGGTGTCCGAGGCCGGGGATTTGGGTGTCCGAGGCCGGGGTAAGAGAAGGGTGTCTGATGACGTGTTTCATTGATTGCAGCATTCGACAGAAAGTGTCAGATTGACAGCCCTGAATGACAGCAGCCTCGACTTGTCTGTGGACAGTGACAACAGCATGTCTGTGCCTTCCCCCACCAGTGCTATGAAGACCAGTCCCTTGAACAGTTCTGGCAGCTCTCAGGGGTAAGGACTGGGAGAACGGCTGACGGCGGCCTGGGCATGGGCTTCACCTTTTCAGGTGGTCCAGGGTTTCCTTTTGGGAAAAACACTTTGTTTTCATCCCTCACACTGGGAGCCCTGTGGACACATTGGAGGCTAACCACGAGGGTAGCCAATGGGAACCACCAGCTGCTCCTGGGGAGGAAGAGCAGCAGGCGTTCTGTTCCGTGCAGGGCTGTTGCGGTTGCGGGAAGCCCACAGGGGCAGTTAGTTCTGTGCTGCCCTGCAGGGTCGCTGGGAGTCGGAATTGACTCGATGGCACTGAGTTTGGCCTCTGGGCATCGTAACTCGCTATTCCAGCTCAGAAATGGAATCCTTTGTTATGGGTAGTTATGGCCTGTCAGCATTCAAACTGACTCCTCACCATTGTGGAGTTGCCTCCGACACTCGGTCACTGTGTAGGACAGAGGAGAGCTGTCCCTTGGGGTTCCCAAGACTACCGCCCACCATCCTGACACAAGTCTGCCGCTTCTGCCCTGCCCAATAGCCTAGTTTTTGAACCGATGTTTTAAAAGCAAATCTAAAACCCATTTCATCGGGAACTGGCTCCACTGGAAGTGTCAGTTCATTGACTGCAGAGGAAATGACCATGCAGCCATTGCAATCCCTGAACCCCTTAACGACACCTTCAGAAAGAGCAGCGTGGATCCTCCGAAGCTCAGTGTGACTGAGACCGGTTGTGTTATAGCGTTACCACTCTGTGCAGGGATTCATTGTACAGTAAAATCGCCCTAACCACCGGAGAAGCTTTTCAAGAGAAGCATCGTCTTCTACCTGCCACCAGCAGGTTTGGACTGTCACCTCCCTCTGTCAGTGGCACCACCCAAACGTCTTCACAGCTGCGCCTGCGCTTCTTAGTGCTCAGCATCTCTACCCTCGTCAGGCAGGGAGGGCTGGGGAGCACTAGTGAAGCACTCGGCTGCCAGCACCATGGGGTAGTACAGGTAACAGAGCACTTGCCCTTGTGAAATTGGACAGGATGGCGTTGCCTCGGTGGGTTCGTGTTGCAGCCAAACTCAGTTCATAGGAGGCGGTGGCGGTTGTCGAGTGCCCTCCAATCACATCTCACTCGGAGCGACCCTGTGGGTAACTGAACGAAACATGGCCTGGTTCTGAGTATCTGCAGGGGATGTGAAACTCAGCTAAATAAGCATTTATCGTAGAAGGTAACTTCTGTGTGCATTAAGTAATTCTGTTGGCGTTTATGCTGACTTTTATATTTGCTTTTGATTTTTTTTCTTTTTCAGCAGAAACAGTCCTGCTCCGGCTGTGACAGCAGCCTCTGTGACCACCCTCCAGGCTCCTGACGTTTCTGGGCCTCCAGTGAACTCCGGCGATGGCTCAGGGGGTAAGGACATGGGCCTGTGGGTCCTGCATCTTAAAATTGGTTTTATCTTTTGTCCCCTCTTTGAAAACGCTCCTTATTATCCAGATGCGGTTGACCTGGGTGGTCAAGGGCAGGGAGCCTCTCCTCCTGCTGGTGGGCTGGCTGCTCCAGGAGGTCCGAGCCCGTGCACTTCCCCCACAGGTACGTCGAGCGAAAGCATTCCTCAAACTGCCGTGCAGCCAGCCATTTCTCCACCACCAAAGCCTCCGCTCTCCAGAGTGGTCTCGTCCACACGCCTGGTGAACCAGCCACCTAGACCTTCAGGAAATGCAGCAACAAAAATACCTAACCCTATAGCAGGCGTCAAGAGGACCTCCTCCCCCCACAAAGAAGAGAGCCCCAAGAAAACCAAAACAGAGGAGGTATGTGTTGTGTAGTGTAGGGCTAGCAGCTCCGCCCCGGGCCAGCCTCCTGCTCACCGCAGAGCAGGACGCGGAGCGCACACCAGTAGCGCCGTGGAGCAGTGCATCTTTTGTGCTGATTGGTGGGTTGGGAGCCCTTTAGAGCTCTGTGGACCAAAGTTCATCCTGCCTATGGATGCAGGTGGGGTTGGGGGTGCTGTGTCTCTGGGTCCTGAACCCCGCAGGGGTCCAGTCAAAGTGTTGGACCCCTGGGAGTTCTTTAGGGATGACTGAACAAAGTTCCAGAGTCGGATCATTTTGGTACCCAAGTGATTGTATTCATTTTGGTCGGTTCTTTGAGGAAGATTCTGGAAGTACTTGTACTCTTTGTAGTGGCTGGAGCACCTTGTTCCTTTCGTCAGCAGCTTCAGGAAAAACAGGGGGAGCCTCCTTCCTGCTCCCGAGAGTCGTCCTCTCTGGTTGCTTTGGTGACTCTCACTGGGCCATGAGTGTCCTGTGGGAGGGGAGACCTGGAGACCTAGCCAGGCGCTGGCAGTGCACCTCTGTCAGGTGGGATTCCTTCTGCCACTTGTGCTGAAGGAGGGTTAGGAACAGTGTCACCTCGCTCGCTGCTCTCTCCCTGTCTGTGCGCAGGCTGAGGGCGGGTTCTCCCACCGTCTGTCCAGACCAGCCGCTGTTCCAGGGCTGCTGGGGGGCCTGCTTCCTCCTGGAAGAGGGGGCACACCTGGCAGTCCTGCATGTGCTGCCATCAGGGTCCCTCCAGACCCAAGATGGCGACGTGGTCTCCAGACATGGGAGCCACCTGCCCACAGGCCCATGCCCTGGTTCCTTGGGGGTCTCCCCGGCTCTGTACCAGCTCCAGGCTCCCTCCTGGTTCCCAGGCGCCACAGCAGATGCTGGGCCAGAGGTCCTGGGCCGGAGTTGGGGGGTGTAGCCCTTTGTTGAGTTTAGTGGAGAGAACTGAGAAGATTTCCAGCAGGAATAAAGGGGTCGCCTACTGACTGTGGCGCCACCTCTTACCCTCATTGATGAGGGGCTCCGTCCCACACCGGAGTGAGGCGGGCCACTCCGTCAGTCCCTGTGGCCTAAGTTCTTCCAGCCCTTTTTTGCACCCCCCACTCATGGAGCATTTAGAGCACAGCACGGTTCCTTGCACTCGTCGTTCTGGTTTACGAACAGGAACCTGTAACTTGATTCCCTCACAGCCACCGCAGCGGCCCACCGTGCCTCTGTCACAGTGATGTCGCCGCCGTGCTGGCCTGTGAGGTGTCTGAGGGCATGCCCCAGCGGTCTTGTTCTCCCTGGTACCTCCAGAAACCTGCGAGAGCAGTGAGTGAGTGCCAGGTTCCCCATGGTCAGGCTTACAGGAAAGGGAAGAACACGTGAGCATAAGAACATGAGTCTACCTACAAGATTAATGATTCATTAACTAGCATTTTATACTCAGTCAGTGATTAGATGTCCCCAAGCATTCATTGTACAATAGTTTCTTTGTTCAAATCTGGAACAAAGTAAGGTCTCTGCGTTACAGTGTTTCCTGCCTCTTAGGCCTCACATTACATTGAATAAAGGGGTCTGAGGGATCAGTGTGGCGGCCACATTGGGCCTTCTCCAGCTTTAGTGGGAGACACACGGTCCATGTCCACACCAGCCTGAGGCCAATGGCTACAAGCCCAGTGGTCAGGCCAGACAGGGCTCCACTGCCATCTTTCTCTTAGCCAATTCGAGTCCGACATCAGCCGTTCCTCCATGGGCTCTGCTTCCCTGCTGGGGTTGAGAACCTGTTGCAGTGGCCACACAGGACTCCCAGGGGGAGCTGACAGGTTACCACGAGTCACAAGCAGAAGCCGTGATGGGTCCATTGCAGCTCCTCAGCCGGCAGCCAGTCTCTCTGGTGCTCAGCCTCCCAGTCACGTACGTGGTCCCTTGGCTGCTTCCTTGTTTGGTGGGTCTCTGGTTTCAGTGCTGCGGCTCCCCTGCAGCTGCGGCTTGGGGTGGCTTCTGCTGCCCCCGCTGCTTTAGGCAGGGTTCTTGCAACGAACCCTGTTCTGCTGGTGACTCTTCCTCCGAGGTTGGGAGTTCTCTCTGCTACCCCTCCCTGTGTGCAGGGCCCCAAGTGACCACTGGTGAGGTTACAGAGACCCGCGTAGAAGGCTGTACTTGGGCCTTTCATGTGGCCACTTCCCTCTGCCCCTGTCTTCCCCCTGCACGTTGCTTGTTACATGCCGTCTCTGGTGGTCCAGACCATGGGTCCAAACATTGGCTCTCGAGCTGTGTGACTGAAGTAAAATGGAAAATTAAAATAAATGTATCATAGTTTCATTGACAGAAGCTTTTGAAGGGTGTTATTCAGATTATGGTGCTCTCGTTTGTAAAAACATTCATGGCTATTGAATAATAATTAAGTTGCTGTGAGGGGCAGGATTGGCTCTTCAGTCTCAAAAGTTTGCTGACCCTGATCTAGATTAGTGTTTCCCAGAGTGGGTGGTACCGGCTCCTGTAGGGAGCTGGGACGACGACCCAGGGTGTCTACACTTGGTCCTGGACACACAGGCCAGAGCTCAAATGTTTGGTAACCAGGGCACCCTGAGGCTTTCTTTCTTTTGCCCCTGAAAAGGGGCAGTGGGCTCAGTAATTGGGAATCGGTGGTCTAGGTTCTGCTTTTGGCGTCTCACGGGCTTGTGTCACAGGCAGGGCTTTGGGGTGCCAGGCGTTTTGTACCTCGAAGGCCCCTTGCATGTGGCCTAGATTGTCTTTCCGCAAATGTCCTTGGTCCATAGAGAAGGAACTTGAGGCTCTGAGACCAGCTAGAGGGAGGGTCGAGATGAGCCCCCAGGCTCCTGGTGCCAAGGGTGAAGGCGCCTGGGTCTTCTCTGTTAGCAAGGGCTTGTATGAGGTCCAAGCACTGGCTTCCCTCCCTCAGGAACCCCTAGATGGGTATAGAAAGGAGACTTTGCATGTTTTTGTGGTTTAAATCTACTTAATGCTTATCACATGCTTAAGGGTAAATGGTAATCTCAAACAATCTCAAGAATAAAATCAGATGCCACCTGGATATTGTGGAAAGATAAAGCCCCACACATGCATATACAAGCGTACACGTACATTCTCTTGTGGAAGGTCCCTGGCATGGACAGCCATGGAGTTGCTGAGTTTGAATTACCCAGTTGGAGAGAGACACCTGCTCCTGGCCAGCCGAGTGCTGTCCACCCTGCCTTCCCAGGCAGTTTTGAAGCTGATGACCAGAGATTACTGACTTTCCAAGGTGTGTCTAAAATGAAGGCCCTTTAAGGAACAGAGGAGCTGCTGCCGTCAGCATGGACCGTGACCCCACTGCCGTTAGGTTAGGGTTAGGTGACTTTTCCAGCAGGTTCTATATAGGGCACAAATACGGCTCTTACGGAACTGGGTGGTGTTGCTATTCAATCTCTTCAGACACTTAGATGCCCTGTGGTGGTTTTCTTAAAGCCACATTCAGATTTTAATGTTGGTTCAGTTTGGTATACATACACATCCCACCCACCACCCAAACTAGGAAAGCGTGCCCCAAATGGTCTTCCTAAGAAAGCCAGGTGACTTGTCAGTCTCTGGGCATGATGAAACGCCACTGTTGTCGGGTTGCTGGAGGCAGGCCTGTGGGTGTGGGTGAGGTTGGGGGTGGTGCTCGAGAATGGGTGAGCAGGGGGCTTTTCCTTCTTCCTCCCTCCCTGGCTTTGGGAAGGCACCGGAGGCCCCCTCGGCTTCCCTTTTTCTTGTAGTCGATGCCACGGCCAAGCAACGTCAACAATGAAGAAACCCTGTCTCCTGTGTTAATACCATCACGTGCCCTTCAAGCCCAATTAAAAGCTTTGTGAATTAAAGCTTGATTGACAATCAGAAGTTTTCAATTTGGAGACTAAACTTAAAAATAACAAAACAGGATGAGCTAGGTGAAGGCGCTCACTGTCCTGCACATGATAAAACGGTGGTGGAGGTGTGTTAATACGCACGCACGCTGTGCTGGCCCGCCCCCTGCTGCCCGCATCATTGCTGCTGTGACTGCCATGGTAGAGAAGCCCTGCATGGGGGGCGGGGACAGAGCCCTCGAAGGACACGGGCTGCCTTAGGCTGCCCAAGATGCAGGAGCAGGGCCTGTGCAGGCGCTCGGCCAGCACTTGGCTGCTGCTCAGGAGAAACGTGTGGTCACTGTCCCCAACCAAAAAGGCCAGTTCTGCTCTATCCTGCAGTGGAGCTGGGCACCAGCGGGTCTGGTCTGGTTTTAGGATGCAGGGGACTTGCAAAAGGCAGATGTGGTAAAAGAGATTTGACTCAATTTGTAAAAGACTGACATTGACTTTTTCAGAAATGGAACTGTGTGGTTTTCCTTTTGTGTAGACGCTAGAAAACTCCCCCTTCCCTGAATTTATTACCTTGTACCCTGAGATGGAGATGAAGTTGTCGGCATGCATGTTTTGGGCGTCTGTTCTTCCCCGTCCCCCATGCACACCCACCAGTGCCTTCCTCAGCCTGTGGTGCTGTGACTACTCGCGGCGATGTGGCAGCCCGTCTGAAGTGGGCAGTCTTTGGGCCAGTAAGCTTCCCGTTGCCAGCTATAGTTCCCTTCACAAAGGAAAGCTGCCCTTCGGCTGTGGTGTGGGCGGTGGTTCAGTGGCTGACCCCCCCCACAGGCTCGCCCCCCTGCCTCAGGATAAGTTCATGATGGGTTTCTGGGTCCGAGCTCTCCTCCCAGAGGGCTGTGCACCCCTCCCACTCGTGAGACTCTTTGGTATGTCCTCGTGTTGCCTCTGTGCCAGGGGGAGGCAGGCAGTCCGTTGCTGGGGCTCATGAAACACGCACAGGGCACATATCTGCAGTCGCCCATCACACCCTCGTCTCAGGCTTGGCGGGGGTGGGGGAGGTGGGGCAGTGGCATTCAGAGCCAAAGGTCAGCTCAGATTCTGCGGGGTCATCATGCTCACATGTTCTTGAAGGACACAGAATGGTCACAGAGGCTTTATCATGAAGGCGTTTGCAAAAAATTGAAACGGCAGTGCCCATATGGAGGCTTGGTTGGGAACCGTCGCCTCATAGTTTGGCATCCTTGTTGACCAAGGGGCCTGTGACTTGAGCAGCGCTTTCTGGCGTGCCTCCCCCCCCCCTGCTCAGTTGTCTGCGACCGTTTGAAGTTAGTTTGTGGGGTCTGCGTTGACGTGCTGAGTCTTCCTCGTGGCTGTGAGCATCCTGAGGGCACCAGGTGGCATGGCTGCAGGTGGGGGCAGCCTGAGCTCTGCAATTGGGGGAGGGGAGAGCAGAGCGGGGCTCATACTGTGATTGAAGAGGGCACGGGACTATTTCGGGGGCCGTGGAACTCCTCAGGAACTTTGCTCTTTTCCTGTAGCCGACAACTTGGTCTTGAGTTTATAGGTTGTTAATTCCTGCCTGGGCAACGGTTTGTCAGGCGATGGTAATTATTGTTTATTTAAAATGTCCAAAACTTAGAGGTGCTTTGACCATGTTCTTTAAGGGTTAAGGAGGCAAAGGAAACGTTGGGTGTGGGTGGGCAGTGGGGCGGGCAGTGGGGCTGTCACCTGACTCTCAGCCTCTCTCCCTGCTCCTGTGTCAACAGGAACAGCTTGATTCCGAGACGAGTACGACGACGCAGCCAGAGACTCTTCAGACGGCGGCCTCCCTGTTGGCCTCTCAGGTACTGAGCGCACAGCGCAGGCCGGGACAGCGAGCCAGAGGGAGCATGGCATGGGTGGAATGGTCTGTCACAGCGAGGGATGTGCCTTTTCTGTGCTGACACGATGCCCAGCCCTCCCTCCCTCACAGGGTCCCGGCCCAGTGCTCAGGGAGAGTGTTCGTTTGGTACAAGCTGAAGAGGACATTTCAACGAGGAGAGGGCATAAACCCTCTCCCTGGAATTTTGGCAGCTTGACAGGGTTGTCTCCCCCTAACTGGCCCCTGCCTCAGTCCTCTCTCTGCTTTTTGGTCTGCTGGTCGGTGAGACCTGTCGTTGAAAGTTGGTTTTGGTTTGTCCTAGAAGTGGTGTCAGTGCCGATGCCTCACAAGCACCCCAGCCCCATGTCGATGGCGAAGCCTCCAAATGGAGGAGGAGTGGTTGCCCAACTGGCTCTGCGGCTCTCTTGCCGCCTGACCCAGGCTCTGGTGGCTTCTCTGCTCCGTGCCTCCCATGGCACCCCTGCACACTCCTCGTGTGTCACCCTGAAGACTAGTGTGTGCTGGCTGGCGTCCCCCCGATGCTGCTGTGCTGGATTGCCCACAGTGCTGACTGAACGGCATGCTGTTGCTGGGGGACCCCGGGCTGCTCGGGGCAGCACTGGATGGGCCAGCCTGGGAGTGGATTGTGGTGCTGGCTGTGTGCCCTCTGCTGTGCCACCTCGCTCTCTGGGGAGCTGGTTTCAGGGGCTCTTCTCAACAGGCGAGGTGAGGAGGGACTTCTTCAGTGAGAGGATTCCTGGCTTCTCAGGGAGGAAACCGCCTAGTGCATTATGTTGAGACGCCCTGGGAAACGGGGGATGTGGCCTGGGTGTGTTGGAGCGAGCCCCCACTGCTTGGGGACAGAGAGCTGCCTAGACTGTGCAGGCGTAGGGGGCCAGGGTGAGGTAAGGGCCCGAACCTGACAAGCTTTCGCCAAAGCTCTCATTTTGGATGTTAAGAAGACTGTAGAAAGAGTAGTCAGTTTTTTAGTTTAAGACTTCTTTAACATTAGCCTGTATCACTGTTAACGTACATGAAATCTCAAAGTTCACGGTGCCAGGAACACGGAGGTTCCCTACAGACCTGCTGCTCCTTGTCTGAGGCGAACGTTGAGTCTTCTCCCACACGGGGGCGCCACAGCACCGGTTGCTGTGGACTTCTAGGGCCTTCAAAAGGTTCAAGGAAAATCTTCATTCTTCTTCAGTGGCCTTTTCTTTGACTTTTACATGAAGCCTCTGCAGACACTTTAAAGCAGATGACAAGTCATTCTGAGAGGACCCTGTTTTGAAAATATGATTACTTGGGAGTATATATATACTTGTGTGAAAAACATTTTGTAGCCACTTGAAAAAAAATTGAGGTATAGAAAAATTATCAGATGGCATGTGTATGTGTAAAATAATTCAAACTCGTGAAAAAATGTAGAAATATAGAAGAAATTACTCGGCATGTATCTTAGAAATAACAAGTGGGTGTAAGGGGCCCTCAACTTGATGGCAGTGTTTGGTTTTTATATGTATGTGCCCGTCATATTTCATAATGACTTGGACAACATCAAGGTGTTGAACAAACCATTAGGTGGTGACAGGCGTGTGACTGACTGTCCACCCCAGGCGTCCTCAAACTATGGCCCACTGGCCACATGCAGCCCGCCAAGGACATCTGACCCGCTGGGTGTTTTTGCCCCGTTTTTTTACTTCAAAATAAGGTATGTGCAGTGTGCATAGGGATTGATTTGTTCATAGTTTTCTTTTAAACTATAGTCTGGTCCTCCAATGGGTCTGAGGGACAGTGAACTGGCCTCCTGTTTAAGTTTGAGGATCCCTGGCCCACCCTGACAGCAGGCGGTGCCCTGGCCTCTATGCAGCGGCCTCTCCTCCGAGCAGGCCCCACCGGTCCCTGGGGACGCCACCTGGTGGCTGCTGTGCACACTCCAAATGATGCCCTGTGTTTGCTTTGTCCGCAGAAAACGCCCAGCACAGACCTGTCTGATATCCCTGCTCTCCCTGCAAACCCCATTCCTGTCATCAAAAACTCAATAAAACTGAGACTGAACCGGTAAAAACCACCTCAGGGGTCCATACGTAATACCTGCCAACTCAACCTGTTGTCTGGAGGGATCACCAAGGAGAGCGGCAGAGGGGACAAAGTGCGACAGGCTGAGAGGGGCTGCAGGCGGGCCGGTGCCCCCACCCCCCGGGCTCCTCCGTGCTGGATGGAAGTCCAGGTTCGTATGTGAAGCCAGGAGCGCTATTATTAATGTGTTAGCAACAGTCATGTTACATGATTTCAAAAGATTACTGCCTTTAAAAAAACAAAAAATCCACCTCAAGTTCTAGTTGTGTCCATAATTGACATCTGGATTGGGTTTATGTTTGATGCGTTGTTTGGAAAATTTGCAATACAGACTGGCATAAGAATTCCTTATTCTGATGATGCACTTTTATGTATTTTTTATTAGAAAGTAGAACTAATTTTAGATTGTCAGCTGGATGGATTTCCATTTTTTCCCCCGAGGAGTTTTCTTTACCATTAGTCTCCACGTTGGACATGGCTGTGCGTGGTGATGCTGCACCTCAGGGGCAGGAGTGCCGCCAGCTCCATCCTCGTGCAGCTATAACCCTGTGCCCGGGGTCCACGCATGACATTGAAGGGGTAATTAGGAAGTAGCTTGGTTGTGAGGGGTCCTAATTAAGAAACGATATCTTGGTTTTATTGGGAGGATGGTTTTGCAGTGCATACAAATCAGCGATCAAACAGCAGATTTTTTTCCTTTGAGCCTGTCGCAGCGCCATCTTCTTTTACCTTTTTGTCCGTCGTCCCTGAAACAACCGCCCGCCCCTTGCATGTACGCTTTGTAAAGTAGGGCTGACCAAGCGCCAGCGCCCTGCCGCCTCCACCGAAACCCCTGAGTGGCCCTGGGAGTGTGTGGCACCAACCTCCGACCTGGCTCCCCAGCCACCTGCCTGCTGGCCACAGGCCAGCCTGTGAGCCCACCTACCAAGAGGACTTCGGTCTCCATGGCGTAGTCTCCGGGAATTTTAAACTATGTTTTATTTTTAAATGGCCTACCCAATGTGCTAGTACATTTTACTCACAGAAACATTGAAGTCATTTCTAGCAAACGCTTGACGTCTAGTCAGCTCCCTCCTCCTTTTTGTCTCATTCGATCCACAAATTAGGACAGACCGACACCCACCCTCCCAACTGAGTGGCCGAAAGCCCACCTCCAGGAAGTCCATCCTGCAAGGTGGGGGGGGGGGGGGGGGGGGGCATGATGCTGGGGACAAGGCAAGCGTGTGCGTGGACATCCTGACAAGCATGTCATGTGAGCCCTGCTCTGTTCTGCCCCGCAGTCCTCACGCCAACCTGCAATGAGTCCCCCGCCCCCCTCCAAGTCCACTCCCGGGGTGGACTGCAGTCTCCCCTGCAGCTGTGCAGTGATCCAGGCATCCCTTTCACCTCTGCTTCCCACACTCCCGGCTCTGGCCCCGCCCCCCGCCCCCCACCTGCCCACGGAGAGGACGGCATGCTCGCAGGTGACGGGGCGCGGTGTCTGTGTGTTTTGCGTAGCTTCAGAGTTAGATGGAAATTGCCAGGCACAGATGTAGTCTTGTCGTTTTGTTTACACATTGGGGGGACATCCAGTTTATTAAAGTCCCTGTAACTGCACCCAGTTTTGCCAGGCTGGAGACCTGGCACTTCCCTGTGTAGTGACTGTCATTCCCCTTCTCATCCCTGGAGGGCAGACTGTTGCTTCCGCACGTGTGCGCAGTGTCTCATGACTGGAGTTTGCTTTGTTTTATAGTATCTGTACTCCTTGTATTTTTCCAGAGCTATTTTGTAAACAGATGATGTATTTCTCCATTGAAAACACAATAAAAAAACACAGCACAATCCCACCGTTGACTGGGCTCGGGCCTGGGCGCCTCGTGGACTCTTGTTCTGGCTTCCCGGGCTGGCCACAAGCAGACCCTTAGCCAGCGGCAAGCCTGGTGCTCCTGGCTCCCCCAGTTCGGGGCCCTTCGTTTCCTGGGCGGGATCTCTAAGGTGGAGGATCAGAGCACTGGGCGTGCTGAGCCCCGCCTGTGGTGGCCTGGTCTGCAGCACAGACTAGACCTGCGGCTACTCCTGCATCAGGGCCCTCGCTCTGCCCCCATGCTCTCCCATGCCAGTGGGTGGCACTGTGGCTTCTCAGGGAACCCGGTGACAGCCTAGAACTTTGTAATCAGGAAACTTGAGTCAGAGACTGCTTTCTCCTCCCGAGAGCCTGAGTGCCCAGCATGGCCTGCCTCCCCTTGCCCGTGGGTGTGTGCGTGCGTGCATTAGGCATCACCTCTGGCCCTGTCGAGGAGGACTTGAGTGGGGTGCAAGCTGGGCGGCACAGGGTCTTGTGCTAAAAGCGGGTGGGGCCAAGCTGTGGGCTACCCATTGAGGCAGCTAGACTCAGACTTTGGGGGTGGTGATGGTGGTATGTGAGGGGGGTGTGCAGGCACTGGTGAGACCTCTTTGCCAAGCCACGTGGTCATGGACACTCACCTGGACACAGGGCCAGCACCACCCCATGTCCGGACCTGGGCATTTGGTGCTTCTCCAGGAGGAGGACGGGTGATGGGAAGGGTGTGTGTTGGAACCTGTGCCGTGCCGCGCCCCCCCCCCCCCCCCCGCGGTGCGGGAGAGCTATGTGCTGTGGTGGCACCTAGGTGGCGGGGTGTGGCCTGCAGTCACTGTCGTCGGGGGAGCGCTCCAACAGCAACCTGAGGACGGATGGCTCTTCACGAAGCCCTGGCACCAGGAGTGCATTTGAGCAAATAGACCAGCTCATGACTTAAAAAGACACCAGTTCCTTTGCGATACTTTTTGCCAGTTTAAATCCTAATAAAAATGGATGTTACTGGGGAAACCAGTGCCTGAATCGCTGTATTGTGTTCTGTTTCTGTTTAAAGCTCGCCTCTGTGATACACCTCTGGTGTCAGCATGCCTAGCCGGCTGACCGACTGGCAGGGTCCCTCTTCACCCAGACCCTTCTCAGGCCAAGGGATGTCCCGAGCACGTCCCTCAGCAAGTCCTGCAGCAGATCCCTCAGCGAGCGTGGAGTGTGGGTGTCTCAGCCTGAGAGGCAAGCACCTGTTGAGTGCTGAGCTGTCAGCTCCTGGAGGCACCGTGATGACCAGCCTTGGGGTCCTGTTAGCACCAAGTCGGGAAGAGGGCGCCCTCTCTGGAGCTGGTGTTCTGAAGACCACTGCTGCTGAGCATCTGGGTTTGGCTGAAAAGGGTGGCGTTTTAAGTGCCTTTCCCTTATCTTGCCCTTTCCTCGAGGGGGCGGAGTTCGCTAAGCTGGAGGTCACAGCCTGGCCCTCCCAGCCTGGGAGGCTGGGATCCCTCCATGTATCTGAGTCCAGACGCCTCATGTTTTTCACTGCAGAGGGCGCAGTCGTGCCCCGAGTTTGTGCAGGGGAGTCTGAAGGGCTGTTTACAACAAGCAGCGCGGTGCACGCCATGGCTGCCCTCCCCCCTTCAGGTGTTCCGGTTCGTGGTACATGAGGCCGGAGTCGTGTGCAGAGGAAGGACAGGACTGCTACTCAGCTATTCATAGCTCCTCAAAGCATCATCTGTGACCAAGCGCTAGAGCACAAGTCCCCTCCCACCGTCTGCATGGGCTGCTGTGTGTGCCCCTTGTGGTCTGCTTTCTGGTGACCAGGAAGGATTTCTGCTCCTTTGGCCCCAGAGCTGACCAGAGAAATCCTTGCTGGGTGGAGGTGGGCTGGCAGGCTGATGTCTGGGGTAAGAAGAGGCAGTCTGGAACACAGTGCTGCCCCTGCAGTGGCACTGCCTGACCAGAGTGGCCTAGGGGGAGGGCTTCTGTGCCCAGAGTGACTTCCTGGTGGTCAGCAAGAGCCAGACGTGCAGACTGAGGGTGCACCTCCCCGAGTCACCACCTGTCAGGACCACGTGGGTGTTCTGGCCTCACCAGGAGCATGGCTGTTCCGCAGACGCAGTTGGGGCTGCCGCCTGTTCTTTAAAAACAAGTCTTCCTAAGCCTTCTAAAAACACATTTTTTGTTCATTTTTCTAAGATTGCCAAAAGAAGCTGGGTGTCCAGTCTCTCACTATAGGGCCCTCCCCAGCTCCCTGCAGGCTTCAATCCAAGTTAGGGAAGAGGGAGGGGCTGCCAGTTCCCAGTAGACCCCTCGGCTCCGCCATCCCCCAGGACCTGCGAGTGGGTGAGGATGCTCGGGGCCTAGGTACCAGGCAGGAGTCCGCCCAGCAGGCCAAGAGCTGCACCCTTAGGCTGCTTCTCGGTACAGCACCCTCCCTCCAAACTTTGGCACCGCGTGGCGCCTGTGCTGAGTTCCAGAAAGCTGGCAGGAGAATCGGGCCTTGTTTGTCTTCTCTGACTGCAGCAGAGCTGCTAATAAAGAGATTGATGATCAGGTTGTCGAGAGGAGACAGTTGGGCAGAACCGCTCCCCATGAGTGACAGAGGGCACTCTCCCTTCGCAGCCAAGACAGCCGCCCCCAGCAGAGAGCCGGCCATGCCTGGACCGCATTTCGAGGTGCTGGGCGCTGCCTGGGCCAGAGTGCTCCTGTACGGCCCTCCCCATGCCCCCCAACTGCCAAACACACTCCAGTAATGGACTCAGAGACCCCCCGGCAAACCAGCAGTCACTGGGGAAATGGACCACAGCTTTGGTGGCCAGCCCGAATACCCCCAGAGCCCAGGGGCTTGAGTGTGGGCTCGAGAGAGGAGCCTGGGCCAACTCTTGGCCCCCTCTTGGGTGCAAGTGCCAATCTGCCCAGAGGAGGCATCGAATCACCAGAATGCACCTGAGGGTGGCACTGACCTAGGGGCGTGAGAAAAAGGGCCCAGTCTATGGGCACAAGGGGTGGGGGCTGGGGTGTGTGTGCACGGATGCTGCCAGTGTCCCTCAGAAGCCAAGATGGCCTGTGTGCTTTGGACCTGTTCTCAGGTGGGACCAGTCCCTGGGGAGGACGTGCTTGGGTTGACCCAGTGGCTGCCACAGTGGACTTGATGTGGCAGCAATGATGAGGTTGGCACAGGGTCAAGCAGTGTCCCCCTCTGTTGGACGAGGGGCCGCACGGCCAACTGGACGCTCGTTTGGTGAAAGCGTGTTGGGATTTGAATAAGGTCCAGCTGCCGTGCTCGGTCCTTGACACCCATCACTCCCTTATAGAGCTCTCTGCATCTGTCTTTTACAATTTGGCTCATGAGATTTCTTCCCTCCTCTCTTTCTTGTTTGAAACCAGCCTCCCAGTGGGTTCCACGTCCACCTTCCCTCCTACAGCAAGGCTGCTGCTCAGACCTGATGGGGAAGGGTTGTGAGGGCCCTGGCCCTTGTCTCAACAATTTCCTTACTATTTTTAAATTTCCCCTTTTGCTTGTGGACTTTATTTAATAAAGAGAAGAAAACACAGCCGTCACATCAAACGGGCTATGGGATCCCATTAACAGCCCCCCTCCCCTCCACCACCCCCCTCTGGTGTGGTGTCTGTGGTTCTTTATCTCCTACTTTTCCCACCCTCCCTGTTTGCTGCTCTTTAAGGGAGCTCTGGATGCTTGCCGTGGAGCCAATCAATCCCAGCTCACAGTGACCCCAGAGGATAGACAAGATGACTTGGCAGATTCCAAAGCTGTACATCTTCCCTGGTGCAGACAGCCTCATCTTTCTCCCGCAGAGAGGCTGGTGGGTCTGAACCGCGGACCTTTCAGGTAGCAGCTCCGCAGCTGGGCACGTAACTCACTGGGGAAAAAGCCAGGGTCCTTGGCTTGTTTCTTACTTTTCCGCAGGTCTCATCAAGATGGATCTGTCTGGAATCCACGGGGGTGGGCCTTCTTGGAAGCTGGGCTCGGTGACTCCAGGGCTGAGCCTGACTTCGTACTGGAGGGCCAGGCCCTGGCTGGTGTGAGGCCACTTCACCTGATGACACCTAATTACATTGGCCGAACATCTGGATGTTTAAGATGTGTCATTTTCCATACGGAATGCCCGTCGTCCTTCCCATCTTCTCCCTTTTAACCCACTAATGGTTTTAAATAGCGTCTTTAAACTGTTCAAGAGTCAAGCAGATCTCCCAGACCCAGTGGCCCTGAGGTCATCTTTAACCCTGAGATGCCCCCACAGCATCAGCTCGGCGTGGCCAGGGAAGACGCCCTGCCAGGCCCAGTTGATGGCAGCAACTGGCAAAGGCTCCAAGGGTAGGTGTGGTTAACGAGGAGGCGGGGAGAACACCACTGTAGTGTCAGGTCACTGAGCTTTGAGCTGAGCATGGAGGAGCTGTAGAATAGGGGTCCAGGCCGGACAGATTCTTCTACAGCATGGGCATTAGAGGGGCTTGGACAGCAATGGCAACCGAGTTACCTCCAACGTGGCTCAGCAGGTGCTGTGCTTGGAAGGTGCCACATAATGTGTTTTTATCACAAAATGGGCACATAAAAGTATCACAGCAGGAGTATTATATTTAAAATTAAAATTTGAATAGATGTCTCATCCCCAACACACACACACACACCCTCCCCTCACCCCTCCCCTGGCTAGATTGTATAAAAGGATGGCTCATCCCCAACACACACCCTCCCCTCACCCCTCCCTCCCCTGGTTAGATTGTATAAAAGGCTGTGGCCGTGGCTGGCAGGGCTAGAATGTGGGTGTGCATCAGCGGGCCGCCAGGTTGGTGTTGGTGCACATTGGTGAATCCTCTCTGACTGAATGGTAACTTATAAACCAAACTCTCTGCCATCAAAGTCGGTGCCGGTTCATAGCAACGCTCCCTGGGTTCCCAAGACCTAACTGTTCTCCTGAGAAGTGGCTGGTGGTTTCAAAGTGCCACCCTTGGGATTGCAGCCCCACTGCCAGGGCTCCTGACTCCACTCCCCCTGTTCCT